GGTCAGATCCTCGCCGATGTTGAACGTGACCACATTTCCGTCCTCCATGGCGATGAACAAGGTCATTCCAGGCGTATTGGGCAACACCTTGGCCAAGACAATATCTCGGGGTATGGAAGCATCGTCTGCACTGCGACGGAGAGATTCGCCGTGTATAGGCTCCAGGGTGCTCATATCGATAATGGACACCGTTCCGGACGTCCAGAACCCTACCACGCCCACATCCGATAGCTGGGGCGCCACGTGGATGCAAGCTATCTGATCCTGTTCACTGATGTCCTTCTCTTGCACAACCGTCAAATCGTTGTCAATGTTGATGGAGACCAGGGTGGTGCCTTGAACGGACAAGAGCAGCCAGTGTTTGTTAGCTGAAGCATTGATGATCTGCCTGTCACCTTCGGGAGCCCACGATGCTATCGTGACTCCGCTTTCGGCGTCAAGGAGAGTAGCGGCCGCCGTCGTCACCTGAAGCAGTTGCCCATTGTCGAGATTCGTCGCCAGGAGTGTCTGATGCTGTAGGTCCATCCCATAGTAGTTCTCGACTTCCTCGATCTCTCCTTGAGGATCGAACCTGAATATTCGTGTATCAGTCAGGAAGGACGCGACCAGTGTATCCACGCGCGGGGAGTTGTAAGATTGAAGGGAGAAAAGCGCCCGAGTGTGCTGTAGCTCACCCAGGATCGCAATGTCCTGTAAACCAACACCGCTCCGCACACTTCGCAAGGTTCCATCCTTGAAGACACCACTTGCTGTGACAATACGGGCTTGGCCAGAAGAGTACTCGTTGCCCAGCTGGCTGTCGTTTTCCCGATTCCCCATGTCCATCACGGTGAAATCCGTAATAGGACCAATATTCTCTAGAACCTGGACCAGTTGCAGAATCTCGCTGAGATTCTCGCTAAGGAGGTTGAGCCGGTAAAGCTGCGAATTGCCGTAGTGCGAACCAACAAACAACATGTCGTCGCCTAGGTACGTCAAGACGTGTGCGCGGGCCGTCTTTCCAATGTTGGAGACATCCATTCCGGTGACCACTGCGCCCTCCGTCAGGATGGTGAGTAAATGTAGGTTTCCGTAGTCATCGGCCAAGAAATAATGTGTAGGATCGTACTCGGCCCAAGCGACGAATATCGAGGGCTCCTTGAGGGCGGATTCGACCTGTGTCTTGGTCACTTCATCAATGTATAGCAACCGCGTCTCGCCCACCACTATTAGACCGCCAACATGTGGCTTCGCTTGTTCCGTGTTACGGAAATGATGTCTCTTCACCTCCTCTTCGACCTTTTTGACCGGAATCAGTATGCCCGCACCCGGGTCCTCCACATCCGCGTCGATCTCTCGGTCTCTTGTGGGATCAAACTTAGAAATCTCTGTGTGCCGGTCGTCGGACGTGAGGCGGTACGTCGCCAGTTTGGTTTCGTTGGAGTTGGCCTGGTTGCGGTAGAGGAAGGCAACTTTGGGAATGCCGGTCTCGGTGTATAGGAAGGTGCTGCCCTTGATGAAGAGCTCGGATAGGCGCACTTGTACCAATATGTCAAGTGTCGTCGCCGTGTTCTTCCGGTTACCCAGCCGCCAGACCGATAAGACACCCTCCCATAGGTGCATGGCCATGAACCTCCCGCTAGGATCGACAATGCATTTGTCCTGGCTTTGCGAGTCGCGCATGTGGCGCTCGCCCGGATCGCTGAAACGGTTCAGGGTTTTCAACTGCTGGGTTTCGCGGTCCCATTCTGCCGTAAAGTATTCGAATTGGTCGGTGCCAACGAAAAGAAGGTCGGTTGGATGGTCTTTGGGCTGAAGCTTTTGGAGAATTGTGATGGTCCCGTTGATAACCTTGGAATGGATCATGGATAGATGACCGTCGGCGAGCTTCCATATTTCTATGCGATTCGTTTTCCTAATGCGCTTGAATCAGCAAAGATGATCATGCAACTGAAGGGGTAGAGAGGTCCATACGTGATAATCAAGCTCTCCTCCTCCGGCGACAAAAGGTTGATACGCAGAGCATGCCGCACGCTGCTCGGCCGGTGAATCGGGGCGACGTAGGCCATGGTGTATGATGCGGCGGGCGACAGAGGCTCGAGAAGTGGGATCTTTACATTCGATAAATTGTAAGAAAAATGGGAGAAGTAATGTCTTATTATTAATTGTCGCGCCGTGGGTTCTTTGCAGTTTGGGAACTGAATGCTAGCGTCGAATGGTTTCCAACAGTGGTGATGCAATGGACGAGCTGCGGAGTTAAGAGCAGTTCGTCCGCTGTGCGTGGGGGAAGAGGCGAGCGGGGGCTGCAAGCTCTCTAACTTTTGCTGCGCTTGAACGCTACCCCGCGATCGCGACGCGTCAAGCTCTTGAATAACTGGAATATCATCAAACCAAGTCAATACAGAGCACAAAGTTTGGCCTGACGAGTATAGTCTTGTCAATGCTACTTGAACGTTTACGAAGCATTCAAGCATTATCTGGCTTGTATTCAGTTCTTCCTCTGCCACAATTCTTAGAAACACGTTTTCGTATTAAGTGTTTGACCAAAGTGGAGCAATGTTAGTCCCCCTTTTCCATTTGTTGTGTACCATCTTTTTTGTCCAGCGAGTCCTCGCTTTGTTCCACTTCCTTCATATCATCTTCCTCGACCGCTTGAACCAGCCCTTCAAAATCTTCGTTCACAACACTTCGCTATGACTTACAGCGATGTAGGTTGTTACCGACAGTTCACCACAAAGATTTCTGGATCTCTTGCAGAAGTTTCCTCAACCTCTGCAGCCAAAGGTCCAACGCCTCGCGAGGCACCGTGAGTGTCAACCGGAACCAGCCAGATTCCTCAGCTGGCGGGCATTTGGGTTTCTTGGCCATTGCAGAACAGTCAGAGCGCTTCATATCGCTCGGGAGCACCAGAGACCAGGGAGAGAGGTGGAGGGATGATGCGAGCTGGAAGTAAATCCCAAACCCAGTCTCTAGCTTCCGTCAACTGACCAAGAGAATACTCATGACCGAACAAAGACCTTAAAAGTCAGCAAACACATAGTAGTAGATTTCATGATACTGTAGGACCAAGGCGGCAATACAAACGGAACGACTTCTTCCTCGCATCCCGAGCGCGTAGCCCAAAGATTGCAATGAAAATGACTTGAGAAGAAAGAAGCAAAGTCGTGCAGTTCGCATCACCTGGAGGCAGTGTAATGCCAGGGACACGGTGGAAGGCGACCATGAGCAAGCCCAGAGGGTCGCCGACCGAACTGCAAAAATAGTTGTAATCACGATTCTGCCCCCGTAAGAGCAGTTTCAGAGATTAAACTGAAAAGAACAGACTGCTATGCTTGATCTAAGCCATAAGGCAAAGAGAGCTAAAGAAGAAAAGAAGAGAGAAAGACAAGACAAATCAGGGCGACGGTCTCGGTGGTTTATATTCCCCCCTGCTGCCTGGATGACTTGGTCTGTGCACGAGTGCAAGTTTGGGCCCACTTATTGTCCGGGGAAGTGCTAACCAAGTACAGTATGTATCACGTGCATCCCGACGACGACGACGACGACGACATATGAAAGAGTCAAGTCGAGATGTACCTGGAGTCAACATCAAGCCACCTAACTACGATCATACTTGCCTGAGATAAATTCTTGCGGCAGTACATCTCGTCCTCTGTCCGAAACACCGGGGAACATTCTCGTTTCACCATTCTTCATTGTTCCCGTTGTTCTCTCTTAAGAACTGTTCCTTGACTCTAGGGCTAGACTGGCAGGCGATATATGTTGTGGATGACATGACGAAACGAGGCCTCGGGTCGCCGTAACAGTTGAGCATCTCAGTGACAGATTGCTCATAGGAAGAGGATATTGATATGGACCCGGTCAACAAAGGCACGTCTATCGCAGCTTGAAGCCTTGGTGACACTCGCATTCTGTCGCTCATGTATCGGCCAGATCGAAATGGATTCCAAATAATTCTGCTAACCGGACCTTCTTAGTTTCTGGAAACAAGTTGTAGCTTCAATGATGTGATTCTGGTTAACTCGGGGCCTCAACTTGCCGAGAGGCATGTCTGAACTCCAGGCGCCAGACGTCGCTAGGAAGGAAACGCCATGGCAGTTTCATGCCTTCCTACGCATATGTGTTGATGACCCAAGCCGTTGCCGGTCTGATGTCACCAAGCTTCTAATGTTGACAGTACAAACCGCAACTCTCATATTGGATCAAGATTGGGCTTCAGTAAATGATGGTGTGGGCGGCTCGTTCATCTGTGAAAGATGTGTGGTCAAGGAATATGACATATAAATCTGTCACAAGGGAGAAGATGACTTTTGGTGTCTCGCAATGTCCATTGTTCGAAGCTTGAAACAAGCTGGTGCGATGTTGGCCTAGGGAACAAAATCGGGGGTCAGCGTGGAACAACTTGAAAAGGTATGCTTGAACTCCATGGAAAAGACGTGGGCAAAACAGGAAGAGAGAGTTCATGTTCACTTTCTCCCTTGATGCGTTCCTTTACAACCGACGACGGTAATAAGCTGATTGACAAAAACAAGGCCCGGTATTTATCAATCCGTCTCCGTCACCCGGGCCACACCTTTTTTGCACCCCCTTCACAGTCAGCTCGACTTGTGCTGGAGTACTTTCTGCACCTGACGACGAAGTGATTGGAAATAATTAGCAGGACTACCAGCAATCTGGAACTGAGAGTCGTTCACTTTGGAAGGCAAAGAAGGTAACTTTTTTTCACCGAGACCGGCAGGACCTTCGAACCCCCCGCGTCATAACCTGTACCGACGCGGGCATCGGCCATTCACTTGTTGCCCCGAGCGCCGTACGTATTTATTATATGGCAGAAATAACTCCCCGCCTTGCACTGCGCGACCTTTTATTTCCTTCACCACTTCCCGCCAGGTCCATCTTGGTGTTTACCCCCAACACTCGACGTGCGACTATCGACAACTCCCCCACGAGCTGTTCAACCGCACCACGGACAACGCGTCTCCGCATTCAAGCTGCCGGATAACGGTGGCTTTTACTGCAACATGAACGACGCAAATCACAATCAGCCTGACCTAAATCCGTCACAATCAGAATACGTTCACAGCGTCTTCGCCTTTCAAATGGAGCCCATCGACCCTGCCTTGACGGCTGGCCAGTCCAATACCCCTTTGCGACCGACCTCGCAGACGTCCCCTCCTCAGTCTTTTCCATCCAACTTGGGGCAATTCCAAAACCCAAATTCCCATCCCACTTTCCCCCCTCCCAACCCTCCTCACCATTCCCGTATTGCAGCCCAGAACAATCCTAACATGAGCGTCATGGGAAATGGAAACGGCATGGCACCTGACCAAGGACATACCTTCAACCAGCAGTTGCCGTCTTTTGGTTTTCAACATCCCACACAGCCGTCCGCCGGCCAGCCCATCGCAACGACCCAAGCCAACTTTCACAACAACATGGTCAATATGGGGGCTCAGCAGGCCACTCAACAACCTCAGCCATCGTTCAATGGCCATATGAGCCACAACACAGGGGGAAACAATTTGATGGGGTTTCCTCAACAGGCACAAGCCGCCGCGGCCATGCTACAGTATGCGCATCACCAACAACCTGTCAACGGAATGGTGAACCCGTACCTGGGTCAGATTCCTTCGTCCTTCGATTTCTCGATTATCCCTGGCGCCGCCAGCCATTACAACAATGGCAGCTTTCACAACAACAACTCTTCATTCCGTCCCAACAGCATGCCTGCATTGCAATCGCAGGCTCCTCAACCTCCGGCTACCTCCTTACCAGCGGATGCTCTCTCCCGTGCTGCCGAGACAATGAAGAGCCAAGTCGCTGCGGAGACGACGAAAAAGGGGGTCTCAAAGAGTGCCACAAGCCAGACACCTGCCACCCCCCAAGAAGCGAATCCCGCCCAGCCTGCGAAGCGCAAGAGGAATTATGCTCCTCGAAAGCCAAAGGCCGACGGCACAACCGACCCTACGGCTCCCAAAGAGCCACCGAAGAAACGTCAGAGGACGCAGAAAAAGAAGACAGAGACCACCGCACCCGTCGCACCGGAGGCCATTGCACCCGTCGCACCGATGGCTGCTATGTCGACACCGACGTCTACGCCAACCTTTACTCCAGCCCTCTTGTCGACCACAAACCATTATGGTGCTTCTCCAGCTAACCCGTCAATGCTGTCGGCTTCAGGAACAGCCACTCCAAACCCATCTATTGGGCACACAACAGACACACCTACGCCTGCTGTTCAACAGGCCCTTAAGGCTATGAAAACATTCCAGCCTACCCAGAGCTTCGTACAGACAACAGGCTCGGCCACACTTCCTCCTTCCGCCCCTCATAAGCAGGTAGCCCAGCTTTCTTCCCAGGCGCCGATCTTCAATATGGCTCCCCCCTCACCTATTCAGGTCCCGTCGGAATTTGCTGCGGCGGCTTATTCTGCTCCGATCCCAAACTTGAGTTCTGCACCACCAACTCATGTGGTGAAGCAAACTCCGGCGAAGGGTATTGAGAAACAAGCCCCTGCTGTGCCTAACAAGGTCTCGCCTGTTCCTGTTCCGAATATCCCAACAGTTGCGAAAGTCGCATCTGTGTTTCCTCGACAAGCTCCTGGTGTTGCTCAATCTTCTACTGCAGCTCCAGCTTCAACTCAAGCTTTTGCTCCGGGCCCAGCTCGTGCGCCGGCACTAGGTCCTACCCCGGCACCCACCCCGACTCCTACTCCTGCTCGAGTTTCTCCTCAACATCCGTCTCAACCTCCCAAGCAGGATCCAGTTGGACCTTCAGCCCAGAGAGCTCCTAATGCGGCTTTCACTCCGTCTCCTTCTCCAGCTCCCGCCCGGCATCCTCCTCAGTCTTCCACCCAAGAACAGACCCAACCTCCTGCTCAACTTCCGGTTCAACCTTCCACTCATGTGACGGCCCCACCTGTCGGTCAGGAGCCTGCTCAGCAAACCGTTCAGCAACAGGCTCAGCAAGCTGTTCAAAAGCCAGCTCAGCATATTGTTCAGCAACCAGCCCAGCGTGCTATTCAGTATGCTGCTCAGCGTCAAGCTCAGGCTCCTGTTCAGCATCAAGCTCAGGCTGTTGCTCAACAACAAGCCCAAGCTACTGCTCAGAATCGTGTATCTGCTCAGCCTGCTGTTCAACATTCATATCAGCATGCTGTTCAGCAGCCATCTCAGCAACAGGCCCATCAACAGACTCAACATACTGTTCAGCCGCCAACTCAACAACAGGCCCAACATGCTGCTCAGCAACTGGCGCAGCAGAAGGCCCAGAAACAAGCTCAGCAAAAGGCTCGGAAACAGGCCCAGCAACAACAGGCCCAGCAACAACAGGCTCAGCAACAACAGGCTCAGCAACAACAGGCCCAGCAACAACAGGCTCAGCAACAGCAGACTCAGCAACAACAGGCCCAGCAACAGTTCCTGCAACAAGCTCAGCATGCTTTTCAGCAACAGGCCCAGCAAAGGGCCCAGCAGCAAGCTCAGCATGCCGCTCAACCACAAGCTCAGCATGCCGCTCAACAACAGGCTCAGAATGCCGTTCAGACACCCGCTCAGTATGCTGCTCAGCAAAAGGCTCAACAACAGGCTCAGCAACAGGCCCAGAATGGTGCTCAGATCCCAGCTCAGCATACCACTCAGCAACCAGTTCAGCATGCTGTCCAACATCAAGCTCAGGCTGCCGCTCAGATTCCAACAACTCAGCATGCCATGCAAGCCTCCTCGACCGGACCTTCCCTCCAACCCTCAACTCAACCAGCACTTCCCCCCCAGATCCCCAACGTAAACACCTCCAACCTCTCAAAGCCCGTAACCCCCACCATCATCTCCCCCCAAGCCGATACCGACTTCTACTGCGTCTTCGGCATCCACACCCTCCACCACTTCCGCGTGCGCCGCAGCACGCTCAAACACCTGCACCACCCAACCTCCCTCACCACCTCCCCCTTCCCCAATATTGTGTACATCAACTTCAACGAGGCGCTCACCACCCCGGGTAGTGGTACCACCCCGACCGAGCTCTCCAACGCCCCCGGCGAGACCGCCGACTCGCACATGCAAGCCTTCGGTCGTTTGCTCCGCCTCCTCGAAGACCCCGCCACCCAGGGCAAAACAGCCTGCGACGTCGAGACCATCTGGCGCTTATCCAACCTGCAGCCGGCGCTTGGGCTGGATAAGGGGTACGTCGTGAGTTGGTTGAGACGGTGTATGGGGTTGTTTATTGGGCAGGTTACCACGCCTGTGTCTGTGCCGACGACGGTGACGAGCAGCACGAGCGGTGGTAGCGGTAACAAAGAGAATGTGAATCCACATTGGATGTCCACACAGGTGGCGGAGGAGGATCTGTTTGAGGAGCGTGATATGAAGGGGGCGGACTTGAAGAAGAATAAATGGGAGAAGGCGTTGGAGGCATGTAGGAAGTTTATGTGGATCGTGGAGTGGAGGACGTTGGTGGCTAGGTTGGCGTATGTGTGTTGTGTGGATAAGGATGCGCAGGGACGGTTTGTTTTGAGGAAGCCGGGTGGTGGTGTTGGTGGGGGAGGGGTGTTGAATAGGGGGTTGGTTGGGGAGGAGACTATTGGTGAGTTTTTCTTGTTCTTTCTTTGTTCGGCCAGTGTTTGATGTTGATGAAGAGGAGTGTTGACTAACAAAAAATCACGGAAACAGATGCCATCGTCAACACCCGAACCAAAGCCTGCGACTACCTGATAAACGTAGCTGAGACCACATGCAAGAACTGGCACGGTCGTATCAAGAACGGCCAACGCAACGGCGGCTGTCGCAGCAAATTGTGCATGGAAAAGCGCATGGCCGGTTTGACACAGGTCATCAGAGGCTTGGGTCTGCATATACCCAAGGAAACCACTGCAACAACCACAACCACACCCACAGCCGGAGCATCATCCAACGGACCCAACGGACCCAACCCAGAGACCCAAGCCCAAGCCCAAGCCCAAGCCCAAGCCCAAACCGCCTCTATCGAATCCACCTTCCACGGCCAAGGAACTAAAATGACCAACGGCCTCTCCATCCACTCCGTCTTCGACATCATGAAAGCCATCGAGCACGAGCGTCGCGGCAGGTACCGCTTCGCGGACGCCATGATGCAGCAATTCGCCGGCAAATGCTACGACTGCATGAAGGGCTCGGCGTTCGGCCCGGGCGAGCTCAATCCCACCAACACGCTGTTCCCTATCATCGACTTGCTGTATGAGATGTTGTGGGAGTTGAGGGTCAAGTTTTTGGAGTGGACGGAGTATCCGTGGGCGGAGAGGATTGTGCTTACTGGTATTCAAGCCGATGGCGCTTCCGCTTCTGCTGTTGCGGAAAGATTGCAAGCGGTAGTGGGCGGTGGTGCTGTTGGCATTATTGGCACAGATGGGAGGACTGTTGGCAGTAATTAAGGATGGGGATGGATGGATCCCTCTCTAGCCAGGGTATTTTCTTTTTGTGTGTGCATTATTAGGCGCTGAGGGAAAAGAAGGGTTGGCGTATCGACTATATACCCGGTTAGCATTGGCGTTTTCGTGCCGGTTTGGCTAAGAGTTTGGCCAGAAAGGGCTTGGCTGTGGGTTAGTATCATGGCAGGGGAAAATAGGTGCGCATCAGGATCTCGACATACGTCAAAAGAAGTGATGGGGGTTGGGAAATTGGCGGTGTACACACGTCCTGTTTGGACTTTCCCAGTCTACACATACCCCGGCGTTTGGTTGTTTCAACTTGCTTACTTTATTTAGTCTGCAAATACCCCAGCGTTGATGACAGCGGTACCATAGCTCTGTTTGTTGTATAGTCATGTATTCATTCATGAATGACTTCTACTTATAAGAAAAGCAGGAATCAACAGCAAAAGTTGCCAAACAAAGAAATCTATTCATTCAAAAACATTCGTGACTCGTGTAGTGTTAACCCAGAAGACAGAAATTCTATTCTCGCACGGCAGTTACCTATGTTATGTAAACCGCCGTTACTTCCCTAGAAGTCTAGAATTTACTGCTCAAGACGAAATAGCCTTCAAAATAGCCTTGCCAACCCCCGTAGCACTAGCCGGGTTCTGCCCCGTAATCAACCGTCCCTCCGCATCAACAACCACCTTCTCGCCCCACGCACTGGGGGCCTTCTCAAACGCCCCCTCCGGTCCCACCGCCTCCTTCAACTTATCCTCCAACATAAACGGCATGAATTTGCTCAGTTGAACCATATCCTCCTCCTCATTCGTGAACCCCGTCACCTTCCTCCCCTTCAACAAGTGACTCCCATCAGCAAGCTTCACATTCACCAGCGCCGCGGGACCGTGGCACACCGCGGCTACGACCTTGCCAGCGTCCCAGAATTCGCGGATAAGTTGCTGGGATTGAGGGTCGGTGGCGAGGTCGAACATGGGGCCGTGGCCGCCGGGGAAGAAGATAGCCGCAAAGGGGGCGATGGCGGAGGGGTTACCGACGAAGTCGGAGAGCGGGAGGGTTTGCTCGAAAAGGGGCTTGGTGGAGGGAGAGTTGATGAAGTTGGTGGAGATGGAATCGTCCTTGGCGGCGTCGATGGAGGAGGGGTCGACGGGTGAGAGACCGCCGCGAGGGGAGGCGACGGTTAGGGAGACGGAGGCGGAGTTGAGGACGTCGTAGGGGTGGGCGAATTCGGACTGGGGGGTGGTGTTAGTTAGGTTATCTTTTGTACTGGTGGTAAGGGGAGAAGGAGAAATGGGATGAAGGAGGGGAAAAGGGAGGAGAGGGGAGAAGCTTACCAAGTACCACCCAGTAGGCTTGCCAGTATCACCGAGCTTGTCGTGAGAGGTGAGAACGACGAGGACCTTGGGAGCGGACATTTTGATGATGTTGTGTTTTGGTGTTCTTTTCGTGATTGGTTTGGTATTGTAGTATGGAGTCTTGATGTAGTGAATCCGTGTGAAGCGTTGTAAAAACTTCTGAAGATGAAAGACAGAGACGAGCAGCTATTTATCTCAAAACCAACCTCAACAATGATGTGGTGATGTTGACGACTTACACACGTGGAAGTCTCTAATACGTCACTGCCAAGACCCGCTGCGACCCCTTAACCACATGTCCACAGCAAGGAAGCTACCCCGCCAAACATCGTCGATCTTTGGTTTGTTGAGTTCTCAGCAACATCTTTGCTTCGACGTCCTACTCTCGACGACTTGCTTAATCCATGAACAACGCCAAACGCCGTTTCTTCGACTAATTACCTTATATATGAGCGATTCATCAGCGACGCCTTTCTCTCGACAATTTGTCTTACATGCTTGCCAAAAATCACTGAAATGGCTTTATCGAAGAAGCGTCTGGAGGTGGTCAGCAATCAAGGGGAGCCAGGTACAAGTGTTCGGAGAAAAGGCCGAGGAGAAAAGGCCGGAGACTTTTGATAGGTTCGTGGAGTCCGATTATTTTGGATGCGAGATGCTCACTGCCGATCGTCCCTGGCTTGCCTGATCAAGCTTTTTTTTATGTAAAGACGGTGAGGATGTAACAGAAGGGACATACACGAGGTGGAGAAGGGCAATATGTGGTCAGTCCGAGTTCCATGGGCTATTCTGTCTGATGCTAACCAGGACATGTGAAAAAGATAATGTTGGAACATCTTTGACGCCACTATCTCGATGTGCGTTATCGAGCTTCTTCAAGTTTTGCACGTCGATGATCCCAGAACTCTTGGAGCCTGTGTATTCATAACTTTGTATGTGTTCATCGTCTCGTACACTCCTTTTTGTACACTTAGTCTACGGCGTTGCTGATTAAAGGAGCTAACTCCTGATATCCACCGAAAGCCTACCAACACCAATACATCCAACCCGCAACCTTCATCTCGTCATTAACTTCGCCAAAAGCCACACCAGTAAACTCCGTCACCTCTATGTATTAGAACCAGGTAGACCAAAGGCAACAATAAACCAAACAAAAAGAATGGTAAGCCATCGCCCACATTATTCAAACCAACAAAACTCCTTCGCCATGTCGCCATAATCCTTCCAAGCAGCAGCACAAAAACCTGCGCGCAAACAAACAGACAAACAGCAAAACTCAACACTCAATCCTACATCCACATCAAGTTCCGACTCTGCCTGCGATTCTGCTGCCACAGCGGCCTTGACGATCCACTCCGGACATGACTTCCACCACCATCACCACCACCACCACCACCACCACCGGCATCTCCATCATCCCTTTCCAACTCGCTACTCCCCTCCTCATTAACCCTTCCCAGCGCCGCATTAAAGTTCTGCGAAAAAGCATCAATCTCCCTCGTCAACGGCACCTGGTCCGGCTCAAGCTTGCTCTTGCGCGCCGCAGCTCCGCCAGCGTACGCAGCCGGGAACTGGCCTGGGTAATGATATCCTTCTGCCGGCGGGTATGAATTCTGTCTCGTATGCCCCGGCGGGGTGGGGGAAGCCGTCGGTTGTGGTGCTGCAGTCGCGCCAGCGACGCCCGCCGCGCCAGTGTACGCGTAAGGTGAGGGACCGCCGGCGGTCAGGTCGTTGGAGAAATAACCATTTCCATTGGCGGTTTGGGCAACGGGGGGCAGATAGCCGGGAGCTGGCCCGGTCTCGTAGGCGTCGGGATCTTGGCTTACGGCCGCGAAGCCACTGTTGGGTCCGGGGGTCGGAGAGCTGATGTATTTGCCGTTGATTCCTGGGCGACCGGGACCGGCGCGCGAGTTGGCGTTGCGCCGGCGGCGGAGGAAGTAGAAGATGAGGGCGCCGATGAGGGCCAAGGCGGCAATACCGCCTAGTGTTCCGCCAACGATTGCGCCCGTACGCGCTTTCGTAGGGGTTTTACCTGGTGGTGCCTGGGGTGTTGTAGAAGGTTCTGTCGATGCGGTGGTAGAGGAGGCCGTCGTGGTACTGGTCGATGTGACGGTTGTCCCGGTTGTGCTCTCGGTAGAGGTTGAGGACTCCGTCGTCGATGCTGAGGATTCCGTCGAGGCTAAAGACTCCGTCAAGGTTGAAGACGACGTCCGGGTCCGGGACGCGCTGGTGCTGGTGCTGGTGATAACCCCGAGTGTCGTCGGCGTGCTGAGTCGACTAGCACTTCTCGTCAAGGAGGCAGAAATATGTGGGTAAGTGATAGCCCCCGCAAGTCCGTTCGCGGTAGTGAAAACACTCGTCGCCTGGTCGGCAGCCGTACCACATCCGAACTGCGAAGCTCCTCCCTCGTACAAGTTCTTGTAACACACCTGGGCTCCAGTACATGTGAATACGTAGGGGTCCACCTCCGACTGAGGCCCGCTGTTGCCGTCCACACACGCCGTGAACACACCGGACGTACATGTGGCAGCCCCATCCGGACAACAACCAACCACCTGGTGCGCGGTGTCCAAGACGCAATGCGATCCTGCGCTACATGTCGCTGGAAGCGCTGACAGCCCTCCTATGTAGCCACAGATGGTATTTCCAGCTTGCCTTCGCGCGAGATCGAAGGGGTCTAGCGGGGCGGCTGTGGGGAGGAGGAGTGGCCACGAAACGACATCGAGAGCGTAGTGCGCAACGGTGACGGTTGGCAGTGGCGGAAGGGCGACATGAGCATCTGCTGTGCTGTCGAGAAGGCTGGTGAGAAGAAAAAGGGCCGTTGGCGGCGGTAAGCGATGGAAGAAGTCCGTCCTCATGATCGCATGCGCTACTCAGTCCCGTCGCGTTACCGACGTAGACGAGTAGGTGAGATGGAAGGCCGCGCGTCTTTGGGCTTTCGATGGGATTAGTCGATACGTGGTAACGTATATTGTTTGAAGTCGTATAAATTATTGTGGTTATCGGGGAAAAACTGTGGATGTTTCGTCGCTCGTCGGCCAACCTGTGATTAGATGAAGACAGACGGAAGTCCAAAATCCGGGTGTCAAGAGCGTCCAGAACACCGGGCACTGACTTGTTCGCAAAACGTCAAGGGCGGGGAGATCGCATATACAATGGGCGCGGTATGTGAGGAAGGACGGACGAGACGAATTGACCGCGACGCGAAGAGAGAGTCAAGAAGCACAGGGAGGGAGTCCGGGAGTCAAGTTGTTTGGAGAAGGAGAGAGCTGAACAGCCCAGAGCAGAGAGAAGAGAACAGACCGAACAGACTGAACTGAATGGATGGATAGGTGCAGTAGTTTAAGTTGTTGCGCAGTTGCCCGGTGTTTGGAAAAAAAACTTGGCAATCCCGTTCAGTTCGTTCGTCAGATGTGACCTTCGCCGCTCAGGTACCTCGCCCCCAGGTACGAAGAAGCCACGATGATACCTGCCCAGACTGCCCATTGCGACCGTTGTTAGAGCTCTGGTCGGTGCAGCAGGCTACCTCATGGAAGGCCCATATAACAGGCCTGATTCGTCCATATTCAAGGCATTCCCATATATGCAGAAAGGAATCCAATTGAGCCCATGAAACGACCAAACTATCCTTCACAATTTCTTCTTCTTTTCCCTTGGAGTTGCTCCTGTTTCGAGACATTGTCCAAAAGAGGTACCTGCAGGGATGTCTTCGAACTCTTGGGGTCGCGGACCTGTGGGGCTGAACATCTGGCTGGCTTACACCACCTTTCAGGTCGTTCTGGGCATCCGGCTTCCAGGGCTGTAACACCTATCATTCTACCAAAAAGGTGCTGTTTTTGTTTATCGCAGTCGTCGAGGCAACAATCCTCAAATGCGGTGAGAAAACGAAGCATGAACGAGGGGAAGCATGAAAGGCGCTACGAAGAGGTACCTGCCGTTTACATCAGGGCGGGGCATCGTCGTGCCGGTTGCCGGTCCACTCACAGGAAGGGATGGGATGCACGTCCCGTCCGGGGCCTGCAGGGCACTGCCATGCCATGCCATGCCGTGACCGGGATTGTCCTACCTACCGTCCAAACAGTTGTCGAGGCCGTATCACAGCTGCGATAATTCATCGGAGCTTTAAAGAGGTGCGGACCCGTATCGACTTACACGATTTTTTCTATCGATTTCTCTCACTCACCAGTTGAATTTGATCAAAATCCACGCGAGTTCCTTGGGAACATGTAAGTTCAAGGTAAGGGATAAAGGGCCGATACCTACTGCCTTCTGAAACTTACTATGGTAACAGCTCCTTAGGGGTTCTTTTTGGCGCTGGCAGATGCTCCACCAAATCCACTCCGCTGAGCCGGTTGCCGGCGGTATCTTTACCCCATACAGATATCCACTGGGCGCGTATCGCCGTAGAGGTTCTCAAGCAATGAGCTCTCTTCAATGTTGTTATATTTCCGCGTCAATTGTTTGACCATATTCGAAAAGACAATAGGGGGAAGACTAACCAATGATGAACTGTAGGTAGAGGTACCCTTGTCCCACCAGTGGACAGTACACCACGATTCTGAACGACATTCAGTTTCCATTCCTGTCCCCCCATATTTCTTTTCCTGGACATCGTTGGTTACACGAATCACAATTACTCGGTGTTGTGCCTTTTCCTTATCGGAACACGGATCGATTCCGTGTTGTGGCAGTGCGGTATGTATGTTGCTTGGGTGCATCTTCAACGACATAGCGTTGCAGATTGCCTCTTCACCGCATCCGCCCAGACGTTGGACTGATGGACGAGACGGATAGCTCATGGTGCCGCACCATAACTGGACTGGGGCGACAGCTGCTGGACGTAAACGACGAGTTGATCGACAATGCGCTGATCAATGACAACTTGGATGTCGCGTTAAGATAAAAGTAAAAATAAAGTGGCGCTAAATCCTACACCTTAAAATCTTATATTAACGTCAAGGAAAGCCTGGTGGTCAGTGAGGCCTCAGGCTTTTGGGTGCGCTGCATTATACCACCCATCATTGGGAACTTTTTATGAACGGGATATCATTTGTATGTTTTGCGATTCTTATTTTCATGTTATCATATGCATCAAAATATGCGTCGTAAGGTATGTTCTCCGTAGAGCTAAAAGAACTTTGGGTCTGGGGAAAAGCGATGGGTAAAGTGCTTTGTACTGTAAGATTTTTCTCCCCATGATTCCTGTCCTCGTTTGTCGTTGTCGTCATATAAGGTAAGCCCAAGTTGCTCGCTATGGTTGTCCTTCAACAAGCAGTCCATGGCCGTTCAGGACTACTACTAAGACAGCGAAACGTCTCCCAATGTTTTAGACTGCTGCGTCTGCATGGCAATAACGAGCTCCGTCAGCCGGTCAATCTTGGCCGCCAGATCTGCGATCCGGACCTCGACATCCGTCGCCCGCTCCGCATAAGTCGAATCCTCCTGGGCTTCCTCGGCCTGCCGCGCCTGATGGACAGAGATGCGCCGCTCCAGCGACGACATGCCCGGCCGGCCCTGCGCCGCCTGGTCGCTCTGCAGAGACGTGACCGACCTACGGCCACGCATCTCGCGTCGCGGACCCGCGAGCTTCCTCATCATCGCCGGGATGGCAATGGGCGCCCCGTGCGGCGGCGCCTTGACTGCGCTGTATGTGGCGCCCTTGAGAGAGGTTCCCCTAATCCACTCGTAAATGGCGATGGTGAAGACGATGGGCAGGTGAGTGGCCTTGAGAAGGATGATGCGAGCTCGACGGAACTTATCGTCGGAGGGCAAGAACAGGCGGAGCGGTCGAAATATGACGAGGGCCAGCAGGTTGAAGGGCGGGTAAAAGTGCGTGAGTCGGTTGCTAGTCGACGCTTCGAGCACGTAGATACTGTAGACAAAGAGGTACTCCTCCCGGGCGTGCGTGATGACGCGGGAAAAGCTGTTGGAGAGCATGCCGGTAAGGGAACCCATCAGCAAGATGGAGCTGAGCATAACGAAGAGAATCATGAGTGGTGGCCCGAAGACGGGATCGATCTTGCGCATGATGTCGAACCCTACATAAGTTGAGCCGAAGAAAATCTTGGTGAGAAACCAGGTCATGTCTCTCAGCGGGAACGAGTCGCGCCCGACTAGGGAGAAGGTCGTGAGGAAGCCGAGATAGATGATGACAACCAGAACCATGAACTTGATAAAGTCCTTTGCCATCTCCTTGAGGCAAGGGATGAGAGTGCCCCAGTACGGACTCAAGCTGAGGATAGAGCAGACGCGAGGGACCATGAACAGAGCTTCCAGTGCCAGTACGTCGAACGCCAGATCTATTAGCTCTTCATTTTGCGTTCTAAGGCCAACGATTCCTGTGACAATGAGTAATGAGTATGTCGCGTTCAAGGAGGATACGGATCCGACTTACGCAGCACCATATATGTGAAACCTATAGCCATGATTGCCATATCAAAGATGTTCTGTTAGATTAGTTAGCATATCTGCAAGGTATGGAAGGAACCAGAGAACACGACACTTACCCAAATATCAGCAGCGTAGAAGATGGATCCAGCGTCAATCCATTCACTCAACTCGTCGTAAGAAAAGGCAGCCAGCCACAGGTATAGGAAGATTTCGAGGGGCGTGATTCGGGTCGGATGTCGTTCAACGAGGACGGCGTAGTAGAGAAACAGGAAACTGGCAAAGAAGACGACCTCGAATGACTTGAGATATTTGGGAACCCGGAGACGTGAAAAGGGATCGGCCGTGTGCGGGTTGTAAAACCGCGGTTTCTTTTCTGTGTGAACGGATAAGTTGTCCCAAAATATGATATCGCCATTCCAGATACCTGTGATGATCTTCTGAACGACATTCTGACTAAGGAATCGTTTCGCGTCTGCAATGGCGGCAATCTCCAGGGCGTTCAAGTTGATGAATGGAGAAGTCGGATCATCCTCTTCCTCGCCGTCGCTGTCGACCTCGCCGGTCATACTCATGGTGAGGCGTGTGAGAGACTGGAGCAAGAGGCTCCTCCGGTTGTTGCCCGTTGGGTTTGGGAACTCATGCTTTCGTCTTGGGTTTGCCATTGACTCGGTCCATGCGCGCGCAAGGAGTGGACTATGCTCGTTGGCTTGCGATGTCTCTTCTTCATCGCTTTGGCGGTTAGCCTCCAGCGCTGGGTCTGGGATTTCGTAAAGACAATAGTCAACAGCTTCTCGCTCGGAAAGGTGAGTGAGAAGACGCCAGGCAGCAATCTCGCAACCGCTGGCTCTGGCATCATTCAGGCCCTTGTCCTCAGTGATGGCGCCATAGTGCCATTTTAATGCGCTATAGTTATCATATCAGCAGATAGCCCCGGGTAGATAGGTATAGAGGGCATACATACAGCAAAGCATTCACAATGGCTGGATGGTCGCAGCTGAGGACCAAGTGGTCGACAAGGTGCCGCAAACAGTCTCCAGCAGCCGTAGTACGGAGTTGCTCGAACGTTGACGGCATCCGAATGTTCTCGGCGATATATCTGGAGAGGATGTCCATGTCAGCTACTCTGCCTATGGTGCCGTCGATAGACATGTTGGCTCACAAGGAAAGCTTCTTGATGACGAGCCGAAAATCGTCGTCGGGCCCAATATCGGGCATGTCTGGGAGCTCTGGGATCATGTTCGACATGGTGAGTGGACTTTTGAATTTGTAAGGCGAGGGAGTCCGAATCCCTTCTTCCCCTCCAGGCGGAGGCAAGCGCTGCGACCTGACGCGGAGAACGGGCATCTACTGCAACCGACAAACGCCTCAAAAAGCCAAAGGATATGAGCAAAGATCAAGCCGAGATATTGGAGGGATAGGAAGCAACAAGTATCGTAGGAAAAGAACAATATACTGAGGATGTATGAGAGCAAAATAAGAGAGCTGAGGACTGAGGAGGGGAAGGCGAAGGAGTGGAGGTTGTGGAGGTGAAGACGGAGAGTTCCACCCATTCATGACGATCCAGCGGAAGATCGGGTCTGGGTCGGCCGAGGAGGAAGAGGAGGACTCGAGGCGTCGCTACCAAATAGCGGGGTGCAGGTCGGTTGGACCCTGTACGGCGGTAACAAGGCCCCTGTAAACTCTATTGTGCTGGCACTGAGTGGGTGCCTGGACCCCCGCAACGTGAATCCCCCGCCTGACCCCTTGCAGCCCGCTCGCTTCTTCCATGTTTTTTTTTGTCCCCCCCTCCCACCACCACGTCGTGATTCAACCCTTGAACAAATCAACCTCGACCACCGGACATCATGAACCATAACGGGACACACGGAATCGACCGACCTGTCTCGATTGGGCGCACCCGTTTCATCGTTTTGCGGGAACCGAATCATCTCAACATGGACGCCTCCTGACTCAAACAGGACACCAGCTGACTTCTGTGGTCGTACAATGTCATCATCGCACAAAGACATCGACAAGAGTCGTCTCTGGTGATTCTTGCGAGACATTTAACGCCGCTCAACGGCATCGATATTGTCTTCCCATTGGGATCAGATCGAGTCCGTGAGCATGGCGCAGAGGCTGGACTGTCGCATGGCAAGGACATGCTCCAGTTGAAATCTTTCCCAGCAACAGCTCGTCTCTTTGTCGTCAATCAACTCGAGTCACGGGAAGAAGGACGTGATTGACATTGGGATCACTATAGCCGCTCCTTCTACTGCTGCCCCTTTATTTGTGTTACACCACCGGCAGCTTTGTTTACTTTCGCCCCAAGTGGTATTTGGACATCCCTCCTCCGACCTCAAAGACCTGGATAATATGGTGATGCCCGTCTTCCACCATTGACATCTGTGAATACGCTCGATGGACATTACAGTCGAAGATGATCTGATTCCAGTGGTCAAAGAATAATATAGAGATGTCGAAGATGATGGATATAAAGTTGACACTCGGTCATTATTAGTCGACGTTCCAGGCAGTCGTCTTTCTCCCTGGCAGTAGCGAAGAGATACACCAGCCAAGTGTCAAGGAACCACCGCGTCGATAATCCACGATGAAATCTATATTTACGCTCGCCCTAAGCTTGCTATCGTTGGTCCAAGCTGCGCCTCCCACTGCGAATGGCACACGCTTCTCTATCGACGGCGAAACGCGGTACTTCGCCGGTACCGACTCGTACTGGATCGGCTTCCTAATCAACGACCACGATGTCGACACTGTTCTAGACCATATCTCCTCCTCCGGCCTCACTGGGAACTGGCCAACGAGCCGTGCTGCAAGGGATGTAGTACCGATGCTATCTACAAGTGGGCAACTGACATCTCGGCCTATATCGGAATACCCCTATATCCGCAGCTTGGATCGTAGCCACATGATCACCCTCGGAAATGAAGGGTTTGGACTCCCCGGGGCGACAAGCTATCCGTATCAACCCAGCGAAGGCGTGGATTTCGTCAAGAACCTAGCCATTAAGGACTTGGATTTTGGCACTTTCCACTTTTACCCGCAAAGCTGTGCGTGACTGGGAGCTTCTTTTTGTTTGGGAATCAACACTGATTGTGTCTTCTCTAGGGGGTCTGAGCAATGCCGCCGGTGCAGCTTGGATCAAAGACCATGCTTCGGCTTGCAAGAAAGCCGGAAAACCTTGTCTTTTTGAAGAGTGTAAGTGGAATGTTATCACCCAGTCTGATTTGCAGATGCTAATGAATGTTCTTCCCAGACGGCACCTCAACCGACCACTGCAACATCGAGCGACCCTGGCAACAAGCCTCCCTGCAAGCTGTCACGGAGGGCATGGTAGCTGACTTGTTTTGGCAATGGGGAGATAAGCTCAGCACTGGGCAGACACACAATGATGGGAATACGATCTATTATGGATCAGCCGATGCCAACTGCTTGGTCACCGAGCGTGTCAAGGCCATCAACTTCTCCTAGACGTGCCGGCGTGGCTGTGCAAAACAGACCAGCCCCCGGGTTCTCTGCGATAATGCCGTGATTAATGGTAGCAAGATCTCGAGTCGACGCGTTCCTACAGGAAACTCGGCTGTGACTACCGAGGCTGCTCGCTCGCCTTACTCGAGTAGACCAATCATGAGCAGAGGGTTGATGAATGAGCATTCCTCAGGGGGTGAGACGGCTGCGAACTGGGAATGTTGTCAAAATTTGATACTCGTTCTGGCCACCCACCTTACTCTGTGGCTGTATTGTTGATGGCTGTAAGCTTATCACTCCACGATGTTGCCCTCATATACGTGCGCCTATATAAGCAGCACATAGTTCGTGATGAAGAACGGCCACCTCTGCTCAGCAACTCGGACACATCCAAACCGCCTCATCCCACATCTCTAACCAGAAAAGCCAACATGGTGGCGACCATCCGACTTCTCAGCGGCCTTGTCGGCTCGCTCAGCCTCCTTTCTCAAGCTTCGGCTGAGCCACTGCGCCCAACAGAGCAAGTCCGCATCATGGCCCTAGGTGACTCCATCACCGGCAACCCAGTTAGTTCCCTGCCCCCCTTCCCTCTCCCATTCTTCAACCACGACATACTGACAAAACCCCCCAGGGCTGCTGGCGCGCCCTCCTCTCTCGCAAGCTCAACGCCACCAACATCGTCCCCGCCATTCCCTACTCCCAAATCCGCTTCGTCGGCACTCAAAACCGCACCAAATGCGGCTACGGCCGCGCCTACGACTGGATGCACGAAGGGCACGGCGGCATGCAAGCGACCGAGCTCGCCCAAGCCACCGATCCCGTCACCGGCATTCCCGTGGGCCCGCCCATGACGCAACCCCGCCTCCGAACCTATCTCACCTCCCCCGGCGTCGACCCAGTCGACATCATCCTCATGCACTTGGGAACCAACGACATCTGGAACAAGAAAACCACGGCGGAAATCATCTCCGCCTACGGCCAACTGCTCGACCAGATGCGCGCCGTCAACCCTGACGTTCGTCTTCTTGTAGCGCAGATCCTGCCCATGGAGCCGTCCAACTGCCCCGACTGCGCGGCGAAGGTTCGGCAGCTGAACCGGTACATCCCGCTCTGGGCGCAGTATGTCAATAATAGGATTCAGCCGGGTGAAAGTCCCGTGCGGGTGGTCGATCAGTACACGGGCTTTAACGCGACGAGGTTCACGACGGACGGGGTGCATCCGAATGCCAGGGGGGATGAGGCGATTGCGCAGAAGTGGCTGGATCCAGTGGTTGCGGCTGTTAGGGAGGTTATTGATCAGAGGCCCGGGCAGTTGATGGTTTGACGGGTTGAGATTGGAGGGTTGAGGAGCTGCTGATGGGTCAGAGGGTGTGTGAATGGGAAGATGGAACAAGAGAGTGTGGATTTGGTTCTCGGTTTCGGATGGTGAGTGGCTGGTCTGGCTTGTAGAGAATGATGGAGATTACTTTTCGTTCGGCATAGTTCTGTTTGATTAAAGACTGTGGAAGTATTGCTTTGTTTTACACAATATGCCACCTTAATTTTGTTTCGCAGTGTTGACAGTAAGGGAAAATAAAGATGCCCTTTGGTTGAACACTTTATGAGACCAGACTTCTCGGTTACAAAGTGATGTATGTGATCGAGGAATCTCTTCTTTTCGGGATGACGATCTGCATACATGAAGTAGAGTTGGTTGGCTTGGTCTACCTCTAATGTACTCTGGACTCGAATACTAGGAGTATTATAAGAGCAGAAGGAAGTCGAGGTAGGTAGGAACTGAAGATAGGGATGAGAGCATCGATTCGCTCTACACAGTAGGTAACTCGAAGAAACATCCAGCATTTGACATCCGACTATTATATCCAGGGCTATATCGGTAGATTGGGTACACGAAATCTTGAGCACGTCCTTTTAACGCAATCATTGGTGAACCTTGCTAATCTTCAACCCTCTTAGAAAACTTCCTTGGGATGAAGGATATATCAAGGCCATTGTTCATCCGAAGTTTGTCTGATAACGAAGGCGGACAAGTTACTCGTCGGGACTAGAAGCGTCCGGGCCTAAGCATGGTCGTTTCGAGACCTGCCGAGTATGTAGATGGTGGTAGCAGCGGGCATGGATGCGATTACACAGTCCCTGTTATTTTGTACGAAGGCCTTAGGAGCTTGGCGGCCAGGTGCCGGAAGCCCAAGAGGGCTACCGAGCGGGATTTAACGTTGCTGGCTTCAGCAGTATATTAACTTCGTCGCGCTTGTACTGAAAGGAAATGGTAGGAAGGCAGTTGTAAGAAGAGCAGCTAAGCCCCATGGTCGCGAGGTATAAACATTGAAAAGAAGGGTTTAGTTTGGTTGAGAAAGTTGATGGGCGATCTGCGTGATGGAGTCCGTCGTTGGGTTCAATCGCGTCTTGTGATCCGCGAGAAGGATAGTCGTCGGATGTTAATTCTTATAATACGTTTCATCGGTTCTCCGAGTGATACGAATACAAGTTGAAAAAAAGATTGATGATTTGAGACGAAAGGTGCGACGGTTTTTTCGTCTTGAGATGCTCGTGACAATTCGTTTGCGATTTCGGGAGTCAGAAGGGGAGGCAATAGCTATTGCGACTTGCGAGCAAGTTAAGGCCCTGTCAATTGGCCATCATCTGTCAATCAGCTGACACACAACTCACGGCTAGAAATTAGCTCGTGCGTTATTGCTTGATTAGCTGCTTAGCTAAAGCTACCTTATAGCCTTTAGTATTACTATTAAAGTTAATTTTTAAAATTTTTAAATATAAATTGTATTTACTACAAATATGTTTCATTGTAAGTCCATTAGATTTTCTCTTTTTTTACATACATATAACGATAACGCGCCTTCACTATCTTACCCCGCTATTTACCCATTGGCAACGCCTTGAACAGCCTCGCAAAAAACTTCTTCTTGTAAGCTCGTCAATCAATTCACCCAATATTATTACTTTCCAATCCTCGTGTGCGCGCGCGCGTAGCTAAGCGCTTCAATAAACTTCCTTTGATCACATTTTCTGATCTTTCTCAAACACTAATAGTTGCGAATAAACGAAATTGATCACTTACTATCACAGCTGGAGCCCAAGATTGCTTGAGGGATCAAATACTACGTACGAATACACCGTAGTAAACGATCGCCCGACGCCGCAATCGAGAGCACACAATATCCCAACTAGGAAGGCGGTATATATCCACAATCGCCATGGATGAGAACTTGGAATCTTCAACCTTTCATTCCCTGGACGCGGATCCGTCCCAGGTTTCGACTTTCAAAGGACTAGATACCGCTCCTACGAGCGGTTTCGCTTTTACTCCAATATCGCCTTTCAGAGGACGCGCAACATCCTCAAATCCAGCTATTTCGGCTGCTACTACGGCTGTCCAGGCGAGTACGGACGAAAGCCAGTCACACTCGGATTCCAGCACAGGCACCGACAGTAGTAGTGCGCAGAGCAGTGCCGAAGAGAGCAGTGCCTCTGAGGATAGCGCCGCCGAGGGAAGTGCCGCCGAGGGTGGCGATGCTCGTGACAGCGAGGCTAATAGCAGCGATATCGAGAACTTTATACGCGATATCCAGGACGTCAATGTCGAGGGTGGTCTGGGTGGCGGTGACGGCGACAGTGACGACGACAGCGACGTCGACGGTGACGATGATGCCGATAGCGACGACATTGACGGGCGGCTCGTCTTTGAGTCCGATCACGAGCCTAGTCCTGAGTACGATCGAGTGCCCAACCATGGATTCGGCCATCAAACCGACAAAGAGCTCGAGCCGGCCCAAATCCTCAGTGACATTGTAGTTCCCCGAGTGGTCGGGGACCTTGGGGTCAATACGCAACCTGCCGCTACTCCTACCAGTATGGCCACAACCATAGCTGTTGCTGCGCCTCCGTCAACGGTGCCAACCAAACGCAAGGCCGGTGCTCGCGGTGGAGAATGGGGCGAATCTCGAAGAAAGCGATTTTCCGACGCCATGAAACAACGATGGGCAAACGGCAGCATGTCTCATGTCCGCGACATCCTCAGGCAGAACAGCGCCCTCAGGTTGCAAGCGAAAAAGGCAGAGAAAGGTGCTCTGGACACGCCGGCAGGTCATTCATCAGAATCGGAGGCACAAGCCAGAGAGGGTGTTCTGGACACGCCTGCACGTCATCCACCAGCATCAAAGGCAAAATCCCAAGAGGGTGCTCTTGACAAATCGGCAGGTTATAAGTCAATAGACATAGTTGCGTCGGGCCGCGCCTATCGCGAATGGGAGGAGAATGGCGTGCCCGTTTCAACGCATGGAGCCATCATACCGGATGGGTACCAACTCAGAGATGGGTTCTTCCCATGGACATGTCCTGTCCAAAAGTGCGAGAAAGCTGCTGAAAGCCTGCACTTCCTAGGCCAGCATTTCAAGGTGAGTAACGTATTCGCCGGACCCAATCGTTACACCCTTGCCGCCGGCCAAGAACCACTTTGGGGTTGCTGGGATTCAAAAGCTTTCTGTCCAGACACTAACACTGTACAGTCCGCCCACCACGGCCATATGTTCCATGACAACCAAGACGGGACCTTAACGGACTTGGGGCCTTGGACAGAAGACCTACTCCAGAAAGTGATGCCCAAAGGAAGGGGAGCCATCGTCGTCTCCATGGAGAAGACATCCGCGTCACTCGATGATACCATGGAACTGGACAAAGTACCTCCCGCTACTTCATCGTCAGTGCCGGTAGGAGACAGAGCCAGCATGTGGGCATACTTGGAGCCGCTCCTGGCCAAGCATAGAGGGCAGGAGATGCCCCACAATGGCTATGTGTGGGAGCTGAGCATCCTCCCTCGGGTGCGGGACCTGAACATCAATTTCGAATGGCAGCAGACGCATCCCTTTATGGATGGCCATCCCAGGGATGTATCGGCCGTCATTATCCAACTGACGGGAGAACCCGCTGCGACACCTTGCAAAAGGTGTAAAGAGGGCAGGGGCCCTTGGAAAGGCTGTATCATGATCTGTTCCAAGGCGGCCGACCGTCCTCTGGCAAATATTTTTTCCTGCGCCAATTGCTTCTACCATTTTGGCCAGACCTACTGTAGCCACAAATCCTGGGGCGCAGAGAGGTCTCAACGTATCTTGAGAACGAGGGGCAAGACGATTGACAGCATCCAATACTCCAACCAATATTCCAACTCTGGCCAGTCAAAGCCGCACACAAGAACCTCAAAGCCATTGGCAGGATATACCCCTGAGCTACAAGGCGAGTCTACTAGGGCCACAACCCATGACCAAGACGAAACATTTCTGCAGGAATATGATGACGACAAGCCTGAGTCCGAGAACCGGCCCCTGCCTTCAAACAACGATCAAAGGGACTATGAACCCGCGAAGTCTACTATTCCTCTAACCGATGACCAAAAGGCCCTCTGGAATTATATCAAACCACACCTCGCCTTCACCACAGAGGTCCCAGAGGTGGGCTACATCAAGGAGCTCCTTTCCCTCCCACGGGTTCGCGACCTCGTACTCACCCCCAACGAGCCCTTCGCCGAGAAGCACACTCGAGACATCGCCGCCTTGATCATCCAGGTTACAGGAGACGTGCTGGAGATGCCATGCACGCGCTGCCGCCGTGAGAAGGGACCGTTATTCAAGGGGGGCTGCGTCGCCATTAAGACCGACGCCCACCCGGAAGCCAGGAGGGTTTACCAGAGCTGCGCCAACTGCACCTATGACAGCAAGGGTGGCGCGTGCTCACGCGGCAAGGGGATTCCTAACCGACCTCAGCCGCCTTTCCCGAAAAAGGTCCCTGGAATCACCAAGAGTACGGATGGTGTTTGGTTGTTCAGAGGAGGGGGAGGAGGATTGCCTAGACACACCACAGCAACGGCAGCTCCGCGGCCACAACGGCAGGCGGCTCTGGCTGCGGCTGCGGCTACGACTTCGCTTATCTCGGCCGGCGAAGTCCAATCGGCGGAGCTATTTGATATGGAAGTGTGGGAGATGGCTCCTGGTCGAGTCCTTAAGTCAAATACTGATAAACTCATTAGTAAGCAATCTTCCATAACCCTTATTATTACCCTATTACTCGCTAACCCCTTTCTCCATAGGCTTCGCCTACTCCAAAGCCTTCCTCTCAGCCGGTCACACCATCCCAGTCTGCAACGATGTGCAGGTCCAGGTCAAGACTATCAACACCGGCCAAACCATCACCATGGAACCCGACGACGGGCAGACCCGACTCGTTTGGATTGCAACCGGCAAGGTCCGGGTGAAGCTCGGAGACGAACCGGAGTTAATAATCGGCCAGCACGGCATGTTCAGGATCGAGCCCGGTATGGCGTGCACGATTGAGAACCGCGTCTATGTGGATGTTACTCTGCATGTCACGCATCTTTCGGGTTATTTCTGAGAGTGAGGGGGGCTGATTGGGTTCGGAAGGTTGAAAACAGACTGAACAAGGGAGCCAGATTGAAAAGGACCTGAACGAGGAAGGAAGGGATGTGAAGGAGTGGATATTGTGAGTGGTTCGTATCCGGTTTCAATGCTGTTATCTTGTCATTTGATGATTTCCATTCGAGACTGAGAAACACGGTGGTCTTAGGTTAAGGGCACAACCGTTGAGACAAAGATCGAGTACATGCGGAGTGCGTCGATTTGGGGAGATTAACAACAGAAGAGGAGATAGGTCAATCGTAGTTACTCGTTCTTGTTTGCGTTCCTTCAGCCCATCATTATTGATGGACGATACAAGTCGTTGACCGTCATCGCTGGAGTCTTGGATCTGGCAACTTCTACTGGGAAAGTGACAGAAGGTAGCTCTTACTATGGAGCCTCAGCGCATATAATGGCATAACACTCAGAAGATAATCACGAAGAATGTCACCCTCAGAATTGGACAGTCTTCATTGTCGACTGAGGTCCCGCCGAGTCATTGGGAAGTTGGAGCACTGCACTCGCAGGTTTCTTAGCATAACGAAAACCTACAACCGACTCCATATACGATCATCACCAACACGATCCCGTGATCTAGATCAGATATTCACCATCACCCAAACTCGCACCCGTCTCAAGCATTCATTCAGTGATGATGTGTGGTGGATCTGGCCAGAAGTTCATCTCTCTCAGGGGTAAAGTGGGGCCCCGCAGCGTCCGCAGGCGTCGGTAGCACTGGTCAGCCCACCCGCGACCTGTTGGTCAACTCGCATCATGACATCATCAAAGATCATCACCTTGTCACCCGTCACTCACTCACTTTCATTGTGAGTACAGCAATGTCGTCACACATCTTTGTAGAAAGGAACATCACCTGTACTTATAAAGTCTGCTTGCTGCCCGTTTGAAGGAAACATCATTCAGCAATACAATCACAATCACATTCACGTTTAACCTACAACAACGAACCAACCTCGACAACACCCAACTACAACCACTTAAACAACCCACAACCAACACAAACAACACATCAAAAATGTCTTCCCAGCAGTCCACCAACTCCCACGTCGGCCCCAAGACCACCGGCGGCAAGGCCGGCGCCGTCCCCACCCCCGCCAACGCCCATATTGGCACTGACAAGCTCGAGACAAAGCCCAAGGCTTTTGACTCTGAAGGTGCTATTGGCAAGCAGTTCACTGGTATGTTTTCTTTCTCTTCCCTTTCCATCCGATCTTCCCATCGTATCTTCCCTCCCCATCCTCCTCCTCTCCATATGTATTCAGCGCAGCAACTAACCCAATCCCCCCCTCAAACAGAAACCGGCGCAATCGGCCAAATCGGCGAAGCAGTCGGCGGCCCTCTCTCCTCCGGCGGCGTGATCGGCAAGCAGTTCACCGACCAGGGCGCCATTGGCGGTTCTATTCAGGAGGCTCTTGGTGGTAGTAAGCAGAGCGGGCCGGGGATCTTCAAGTCGAACTAAGTCAGAGAAGAAGGAGAAGGAGATGAAGAAGGAAAGCAACAGAGGATGGGATGGATGGGGTGAATGCCATAAAGGCATTGTTGTAACGTTATTATGATGATGACGACTTTAATGACTAAATAACCATTTCGAACAACAAATTCTTGTTAAAGATGCTGCTTGTTGTGCTGTCAAGATATCGTACATGGCTGTTGTCTTTGACATCAGATGTTAATTGTTAAAGGCAGTCGGCGGTCCTACTTGTGGGGCCGGAAACGACCCCACAGCGTCGGGTTACATACGCAGTATCAGATTGATCTGATAAGAAGTCTGGGCACCAGGGGGAACTGAGGGGCACGGGCATTTCGTCGCATTTCGGCTGACGTTAGCCAAGTCTGAGCTCAGTCCGATCTCGGGGCCTCAACCATGCTCTGCAACCTCGAGGGCCCTGAACAGACCCTGACAAGTGCGGGCCTAGACGGGTCGAGAAGGCGGGAAGAAGCCTGTGAAGCTCCGATGCGGCCGGCCGAACTGGAAAGTCAAACGATTGTGAACGTCGGGATACTCGGTACAGTACACCGATATCCAAAGGGTCTTCCGCCCATTTTCTTTCGGAGGAACCGCGGTGAACTGGTTCCGAGTCAACACTGGCAGCCATAACATCAAGCTCGAGTCCGCTTCTTCTGTCTGTCCTCGGTCGCGGTTTCCTTTCTTCTTGAAGTGAACAATTCCGATCGCTGCTACGCCAACTTCACTTCACTGTCGTCATCGGAACTCCAATCCATACCGTCGTCATCCCGCACTCGACTCTTCACAACCAGTCAAAGCCAATCCGTCACCGAGGTTCAAGTCTTCGATTCCAATTCCTTGGCTTTCCTCCACGGGATCCAATCGCGCTTCATCCTTAGCCAGGCCAGGCCCTTCCTCGGCCCTTCTTCTCCGGGGCATCGGGAATACCGCTGTCCCCCGCGCCGTCCGATCGCCCTCCGAATTCCGCGCCCCAGACCTCCCCACTTTCAACCCGCGCCGCCAGTGGAGAACCCTGGTTGCCGCGCCCGCCTCCGACATGAAAGAAGGCACCCCGGCCCCGGTCCCGGTCCAAGGCCCGGTCTCGGCCGTCCCGCCGTTGGATGCCGCCGCCGGACTCAAGACGTCACACTCACATCTTGCCGGCCTCGCTACACAAACACAAAAGACTCGCGCTGCACTCCTTGGTGGTGGTGATGTTGATACGACACCAACAGCTTCGATTTCAAAAGCCGCCGCCGAAGGAATTACAACTACAAGCACAAAATGGAACACCAAGAACCTCGGCCTACGACTTGGTGCTGACCTCGTCAGTGCCGCTTCGGCAGCTGTGCTTGTTGCGCCTGTTATTTCCATCATTGACCGGTATGTCCTTTCTGTCCCCCTCTTACCTTCCATCCCACCAATCCCCCTCTCAACCCCCCTCCCAAATAACCACCAACTAACTTATATCCCCCTCAGCTCAATAATGGAAAACGCCTCCGGCGCCGCCCCCCTCCTCACCTCCCTCCGCCGCTCCCTGCGCTCCCTCCTCCTGTCCCCACGCTCCACCATCCTCTCCAAGCCCTTCGGCCTCATCTTCCTCCTATACGGCGGCACCTACCTCACAGCCAACACTCTCGACACCACCGTCACCACTGTCAAAAATAACCCCAACCCAGCGCACGTCACGTCAGGCAGTTCCAAATTCTTCGCCTCCAGCGCGGCCAACATCGGTCTCTGCATCTACAAAGACCAAGTCTTTGTCCGCCTCTTCGGCCCCCCCGGCGCCGTCCCGCGGCCGGTGGGACTGCCGAGTTACTTGTTGTTTGCGGCGAGGGATTGCATGACGATTTTTGCGTCGTTCAACGTCCCGCCCCTGCTAGGGCCGGTGCTTACCGAACGGTTGAGCAAGGATACGCAAAAGTATGTGACGGGGCAGACGATGGCGCAGTTTGCGGCGCCGGCGGTGGTGCAGCTTTTTAGCACGCCTGTGCATCTGTTGGGGTTGGACATGTATAATCGGCCTTCTGCCGGCGGGGGCGGGGGACAAGGGTCGTCGCCGAGCTGGGGAGAGAGGTTCGCGTTGGTGAGGAAGAATTGGGCGGTTAGTGTGGCGGCGAGGATATGTAGGATTGTGCCGGCTTTTGGGGTGGGTGGGGTGGTTAATATGAAGGTTAGGAAGGGGCTGATGGAGCGGTTGAGTTAGGAGGTGGTGGTGAAGATGTGAGGATATATGGATGGATTGATAGATGGAGACCGAGAGTGTTTGTTGTGCTGAGTATAAAGCTGCGTAGAGCGGTGGCAGGTGTCGGGATAGAGGTTAGGCGTTTTTGGAATGTCCTTTGTTGCTTCGATTTCGTGGGTTTTAGGCGTTCTTCTTGTGTTTGTGGTCTTGTTGTTTTAGAAAGCCAGCTTTGGCTGTGTTTTATATTATAGAGAGAAGGGGCAACCTCTGCAGAGTGTACACAGAAAGATCACCGAGTCCGTAAAATTGTGGTTTCTGCGAATGTCTACTGTCAATTTTACTGTGATTAACAACAAAAAAGTAGATCTAACGTATGAAAGGAGTCATAAGATTATCGCAAAGACCCCGAACCCCGAACGGCAACGTAGCGAGTTGTACTACTCACATCACAAAAATCCGCTCTCCTTCAACGCCTTCATGATCTTCTCGTTCTCCTCCTTCGCAGGATCCGGCCTCGTAGCACCTTCTCCCGTATCAATAAAGTTTTCCCAAAACTTCAGACCCTCAATTCCCTCCTCGCGACACAGCACGCCACGCTCTTCCGCCATCTCAAGCTCTTCCTCGGCAACACCTATACTCCAACCGAACCTCTCCGCCGCATCTCTTGCCGTAACTCCACGCCCAAACTCGCGCCAATCCCACGCCACCTCCCGGTCCGGCGGGAAATTGTGCAAATCTTGCATCCAGGTCAGTAGCGCCCTGATAGTCGTCTCATCCGTCCGGTCACGGCCCTGAACCACCTTCACACCCGACTTGAACGTGCGCAGCCGAACGGGCAACCCGAGCTTGTCCCACAAGTTAACCGCCTTCTCGAAATCCGCGGGACTGACCAGCTCCACGCCCCCGCGAAGCCGGTTGAACATGGCCCAGAGGTCCACAAGCGAGATGATGCCGCCCGCTTTCCTGAGCACACCTCGCGCATCGTCGGTGAGGAACTCAGCCAAGGTACGGGCGAGTTCGGACAGATAGAGCGAGTCGCCACCGCCGCCGCCGCCGACAATGTCCTTGGTCGCAATCAGGCCCAGTTGGCTGGCGGACTCGGCGAGTAGCGCGTTTTCGCTGCCGGAGGAGGCGCCGCCTGCGCCCTTGACTTGGCGCGCAAAGGTCTCTGCCAGGGCCACGATTTCCTTGGCGGAGGCCATCAGGGCTTCGAGGTCCTCGAATGCGTTGCCGATGACAATCTCGTTGTTCTTGCGCATTGATTGGCCGCGCTGTTCGAGGCCTGCGATTCCCGCAATCTTGACGCGTTCGTGCTGGCCTCCAGCTGAGCCTCCTCCTCCTGCTCCTCGACTGGGACCAGATCCTACCCCTGACCCGTTTGAAGAGGTTTTGGGAATCGGAGGTGCGCCCTGAAGTAGCCACTTGCGCTGGGTTATCGATCCTTTGAGCCTCTCGTAAAATATCTTCTCTCCGCCACCGCGGAAGGAGAGCTTCACGCTTTCGAGGGCCTCGTTCTTGGGAGCCAGGCTGCTCAGAACCGGACCGGGAGAGTGTGTCTCCCGCCTTTGTTGCGTGACTTCAGCAGGTAGGTCGTTGGAGATAAGTGGCCCTCCGCACATCTCGCATGACATCAACGAGGGATGGTTGAGAAAGGTACATCTTGGACATTGGAAAGATGCGCTGGCGTCTCCTGCCTGGAAGGGCGATGGTGATGTCTGAGTCGCTGGTACCGATGAGTCGGAACTTTGCTTGGGTCGGACAGGAAGCGGTGTATAGAGGGCAGGTCCCCCGCCGGGCTGTCGACTCGTCGCATTCGAAATGGCCGCCTTGAGGATATGAGTCAAGGTAGGCTTGATGCCACAAGCTAAGCAGGGAGGGAGAGGCGTGTGTTCACTTGCCGTCGTCGGATCGAAATTGGACGGTACTGGGTTGGAGAAGCTGCAGATGGTGCATACCCATGTCGCTGAGCTCGCTGGAGGTGTATCAACGGGCGGCGCACGAAAGGGGCTGTCTACACGTTGCGCCGGTGAAGCGTTTCCATTGCGCGATGGTTGGAGGGATGCTCGCTTGTTGGCCTTGGGCACCAAGGTGATCTTGGGCGAGGACTTGAGGAATCCGGCCTATGTCACATAATACCATTTAGTATCTGATCACTCGGCATGTCCGTTGGGAAAGGCGCAATTACGTAAAACTCGTAGCGCTCAATGTCTTTGAGATCCAAAGCAGCAGAGTACTTTCTAGGCTCCGCCTTGTCGACGTAGCATATTCGGTGCGAGGTCAGGTAAACCTGGCCATTTTGCTGGTTGGGCAGTTTGTATTTGCTGGTAAAGGCATGGCGCATCAGTCAGTCGGGGATTCTCTTGACGTAAGAGTGAACAAAGCAAGAGGCGTAATGAGTGATGAGTGATGATGGCGGGAATGGAGAAGGGACTCGGAGTCAGATGCTCACCCCTCGTACAACCCCACATTGTCCTGGACAAAGAGCAGGTCTTCATCGGGCAGGTACGACGGCCGCAACGCAGTGGTGAGGTCGAGATTCTTTAGAAACATTCGTCATAGCTGGGGGAAAGCTGGTTGGGGCCTTCAGGGAGTCGGGTTATAAAAGAGTGAAAAGAAGACGGACAACTTGGAACAACTGAAGTGGCGGTTGCGGAATGATGTCGGCGGGGGTGTTGCTGTCGACCAGCGACCGGGACTATATGTCTTGGCGGCGACTAGATAGCGGCTAGGTACACTTTCCCGTCCACTTTAGCGAGGGCAATCTGAGCCTTGCTTCAGCAGGCCTTCAGCTGCTCATCAATTGTCCTTCCCGTCTTGCCGTCTGCCCGCCATGGGGACACCCACGTGGCTGGGTGTGATACCGCTGCACTAACACTGACTCGAGATGACAGACAGCAGGTGGTGACAGGTGCAGCATGCAGCCCGTGCGGTGGCTAGTGATGGCCGGCTGAGTTCGGAATGGAACCCACGCCCGATCAACTTTTGGGCCACTGCCACTTCACACCCTTTCGAGGTTCAACCAACACTTTGAACAGAAGGCTGGAGGTTCTCTTTGATCAACCTTGCATGTTTCTTGTCACCGCCCACTTCATTAATTTCAGCCCAGCATTACTATCGGCAACCATCCCCTCGCCACCGTCCACGACTATACGCCCAGTTCCATAGCTAGTTTTGAACCTTGGTTCACACGAGTTGTACGAGTTGTTGTTTGCCAGCGAGTTCTGTTTAATTTGTTGGCATCGTCTTTTCTTGCTCCGTCGTTGTTTGTTTCGTCGTGTGCTTCGACTCTCCCTCGACAACCCGATCGATTCCAGACGAGCAACATGCAGTGGCCATCTGCTCAACCTCCTCCGCCGGGCACGCAGCCGCCGGCGGCCTATCCGTACTCTGGTATGCTTTTGCCGCGTGCCTTTTCGTCCCATCTCTGCCACCTGCTATCTACTCCTGCCGCCTCATTCTGACACTGTCGGTGACTGTTGCTGACGTTCGTTCATCTCTACTCCCCAGCTGCTACCGCATTCACTCCAGTTCAGGTCCGCCAAACCTTCGGTCAACCTTATTCCGCCGCACCACCCGCTTCCTATCCTCCCCCACCTGCCTACGGCCCTCTTCCTACACATCCTCCCGCAACACAACTTCACACTAATCCAGCCGCGCCCTTGACTGCCGCCTCGCCCTCTACAACGCAAGAGCCCGCCAAGAAAAAGATCGACTGGCCAGAATCTGTTCGCAACTACGTGCAGCGTTCTTTCCAGACTTCCAACCTAGATCCATCCGTCACCCGCGCCGAAATGGAAGCCAAGCTCAAGGAAACCATTTCGTACGCAAACGACCAGGGCCACATGTACTCAGTCAACTGGGAGAAAATGCCCTTGCCACAAGAGATGATCAAGGAGGAGCGTGCTAGAGCCAGGGCCCTTCAGCAAGCATCGAACTTCTCGGCCCTTTCTATTTCCCCTACCAGTTCCAAGAAGCGCAAGTCTACAGATTTCAGCGAGGGCGCCGCACCCCCTTGGCGGAACGGACAGAATCGCCTTGAGGACCGCATTACATTCAATGCTGATAAACGCCCAGCGCCAGTCGAGGAAGCCCAGTCGAAGACCCAAAGTAAGTTCCAGAAGCAGTTGGAGAAGCGTCAGAAGCGGTTCGACGGAGGATACAAGTCGACGTATCGCGAGCCGACTCCTCCTCCCAGCGACGGCCCGGTTGTCGGTACATGCGAGACCCTGGAGAAGCGCTATCTCCGTCTGACGGCACCGCCCGTTCCGTCCGTGGTCCGACCAGAGCGGGTTCTGCGCCAGACGCTCGAGCTGCTCAAGAGGAAGTGGAAGAAGGAGCAAAACTACTCTTACATCTGCGATCAGTTCAAATCCATGCGTCAGGACCTGACAGTCCAGCGCATCAAGAATGAGTTTACCGTAGAAGTCTACGAAATCCATGCCCGGATTGCCTTGGAGAAGGGGGACCTCGGTGAGTATAATCAGTGTCAGACCCAGCTCAAGGCCCTCTACAAAATGGGTATCAAGGGGAAGTCGATCGAGTTCAAGGCGTATCGTATCTTGTATTTCATTCATACCGCTAACCGCACGGCGTTGAACGACGTCCTGGCGGATCTAACTGCAGCAGAGAAGGAGGAAGAGGCCATAAAGCATGCGCTTGATGTCCGATCCGCATTGGCGTTGGGCAACTACCACCGCTTTTTCCGGCTCTACAACGACACGCCCAACATGGGCGCATATCTTATGGATATGTTCGTTGGCCGTGAACGCCTTGCTGCTCTTTGCAACATCTGTAAGGCGTACGTACCTTCCATTCCCTTCATATGCGGCTAGGATTTTGTTGCTAACTCTGCTTAGGTATAAACCCGATGTGCCACTGCGCTTCGTCACGGAAGAGCTGTACTTTGAGTCGGATGCGGATGCTGCCCAATTCATCCTCGACTACCAGGGCCAGGATCTACTGGAGGACCGCGACGGAACTGTTGTTTTCCTGACCGGAAAAGCTAAAGAGCTGTTTGAGGGTCCGAGGAAGGCAGCATTTTCCAGGGTTGACATCAAAGGTCAAATCTAACAGCACTGAGTCCTTATTTCCTATCGTCGCCTCACCCGCCCACATCGTTTCGGAACCCACGACATCAGCACCAACTGCCGACCTGATGTTTCTATTTTATCTCCGCCTTCGTAGTTTCCCGCCTCAGTCACTGGGATCTGCACCCTTGCGTCGTCGTGATAGTTTGATATTCTTGATAGCACGCCCTTTCTCGACCTTTGTTTTTCAGCCCCCACGAGATTTGCGACCTGGGCCCGTATCGGCAACACTTTATGGAAGTGCGACTGGGCGATCCGGCGATAGGGAATACCGACGGGTAATCTTTCCCCGTTTCTTCGTCGTCAACCAGTTCCGATGTTACTCTCTAAAGAGGCGTAACGTGGAAAGCATTATAGGAAGCCCACGCCATGCCCTGTGGAAACCCTACATTGACGAACACTACTTCTTCCTCCGAGTCGTCTCGCGACCTTGCGATGCGCCTGGTTGTCACTTGCAACGCATTCCAACTTACCTTTTCAGCTAGTTCCTCCAGGACAGGCGCATCTCCTGTCTTTCAATATTCTTCGCCGGCATCAAGTCACGGCTAAAGGTCCTAAAACCTGGTTGAGGCGTGCAGTATACGAATCAGCCTAGTCAAGAACGGGGACGTTATATCCGCCGTTCTCGGAAGCCATCAAAGGTGGACAGGATGGAGATGGCGTCTTCGCATATCAACCTCCTTCTTTCCCGATAATGTGTCTTTCCGGAAGATCCGACATGTCAGCTCCGAGGGTCTCGCATTTTAGCAAGCATCAGGGTCACGCAGAGGTGACCTTTGGCGACGTGGAAGCAGCAGCATTAGTTGCTACGGTGCTGTAGTGGCACCCTGCTCTCTTTATATACGTGCTCGAAAGCACCGCTCTTTTTTCGAATCTTTTACAGTACTCCTTGTGTTTCGGCGTGGGCATCTGTGGGTGGTAGTTCAGGTCAGCAAGCATAGGGTTGTGGCGTCTCTGGGTGTCAAAACTGATTGCATCTGTCCCTTGGGCTTTTTTCTTCATCCTAGTATAGGTAACTCAGGTGTTTGGCGTTAAGGGGACAGTGTTGAGAGCAGCTGGCCGATTCACTTCTGCGCCTAACACAGCCTTGGGCAGGGAGCTTGAATGGGCATGTTTTCAGTTAGCAAAATAAGAAGGTACTTCATTAGCACCAGCACACAGTAATGTTGTGCATCGTTGACATCGAAGCCATTTTGGCTGTCTTTATGCTAACCATCATCGAGGGTCTCATGCGCCAAGATAATGTGTGATCTTGGGGATATAGAGGAGATAATTTTGGTGTGCAACATTCAACAGTTTGATTTCATGGCCAACAGACGGGGAGCCGCGCGCCAACACCTTGATAAAAGGATCATGTTCTTTCACCTTTCCTGTGGGACAAAAAAGCCTTGTCCAGCAGAAGCTAAAACCCCTGGAAAATCAATAAATATCACGCTGCCTCACTGCTTACAGGTGCACCAGCGGCGGGCATCCCGGCCCGTCCTCGGCTGTGCTTCTCGCGTTACATCCCGATCGGTCAAAGCTTGGCTTGTACATATGAATCCTGCACTAAATTGAATGGAAGGTTGTGTGGGTATTGTCCGGTGGAGAGGATATGGAAGAACGTTCACTTACACCAACCACCCTTATGATCGTGACTAGGATTTCACTTCATCGCAATGGGAAGAGTGAAAATGCCAACTAACGACAGACTAGAAGCTGACGAAAAGTGTGGGATTTGCAGAAAAAACCTGATGTCGTTGGCGCCCTGTTGTAAAATCTCGGACAAAGTTTTGCGGCATTGCCCTATCAGGCCGTCATAACGGTATCTCTATAGAGTCTGGACTCTATAGACACCAATGCTCCTTGTTCGTTGTTGTGGGCTTGTTGGATAGATGTTAGTGTTCATCCGAACCCCCCGAGAGCGAGAAGCGAGAATCAAGCCAAAGCGATATCTGATATCGAGATCGTGATGCGTTTGCTGCACCAATGAAGGAGACTCGGACTTTGTAGAATCGCTTTACGACCTTTACCAAACATAGGTAGATCTGAACCTTGGTCGTAACCATATAGTATATATATATAATCCAGTGACGCTACCAGCCTTACTGGTGTCTTGTAAACCGTCTCGAAGACCTTGCATTGACGTCAGATGGAGCCTTCCATGTCGATGTCAATGCATTGACCACAAGGTGTGGGCTTTGAACATCTTATGACGCATCGTATGAGATGGTGCACTAACAGCAGGCATATTCCTGCCTCTCAGCATCGCATCGACTGTTTTCGACGACGACGACTTTCAAGTTCTTGGATGGACAGTGATGGAACGGACTCGAGCATGAAGCAACTGAATCCTTGAGCTTGGAGAAGTGAAGTAAACTCCCAGAGGTCCCGATCCGATAGCAATCTGGTCGTCAACTCGTAGCAACGGGAGCGCTCGAGCAAACCAACCACAGCTTCCGCTATGACAAGCGCGATCACACGATGCAAATGCAGTGCTTAGAAGAAACTAGTGTTCGGGGAGGCCAGCAAGCTGTCCTCGACCCTTCCGTGAGGGTGTAAGGCTGGATCCAGGGTTGTGGCCCGTGCAGAGCTGGATTCTGGGGTGGTTCGTGCAAAGAGTCCGTGCACCACGCGTGCTGAGGCGGAAGTCCGATATGGGTTTATTCTCGCGGCAACGGGTGCAGTATGAGGTCTGGGAGTTATTC